CCCTGAAGGCCCAGGGCTCCTGCAGCCCGAGCCCTCCGGGATTGGAATCCTCGGGAAACAGGAAATGCATGTTTTGTGCTGTATGTGGCAAAATGTGAGATTTTAAAGGTGTTTAGTGCCTCTACTTGGTTTTTTATTGAAGCATTTTTAATTCTAATTGAAACCCTTAGTAAAGTTCTGAATTGTAGATAATATTGAAGAGACATAACTGGCATTTTGGATGAGGAAGAATGTTTATCTTTTTTACCAAAGTTGACTAGGAGTGATGTCTAAAATGGAAAACAAACATCTTAAGATAGGTGAATAATGGTCGGATGATGTAGTTTAATTGCATTAAATACAGACAATTTCTACAAACTCAGAAAAACATGTTTTCAGTTCTGGCCCTTCTTTAAGAGTGCGCAGCCCTGGGCAAAGTGCTCGATTTTCTGATACTTTGTCTCAGTTTTTTCCTCATTGAGAAATTGAGATTCATTCGGTAGCAGAGCGTGTTGGAGGCGCTGGGCGCTCACAGCTGGACCAGACTCAGTCTCTCCCTCCCTGAACGGGGCAGGTGATGTGTTTAAGGTAAGCAGGCACCGTACTGAAATTATCCCCAAAATGATGAAGTGCCAAGATACAAACAAGAAATAAACAAGAATTATGCACATTTTATATGTTAGGAAACTAAAACAACAAAATCGGACTTGAACACATAGAGAGACATCCCTTGTTGTTACTTAGGCAGCTGAACATCATAAGGGGACCAAGTTTTCTTATGTTAATGCATGAATTCAACACAATCCCAGAAAAAATATTTGTCCTTTTTCTGGGGAGAGTCAAATGGACTCTGAAGTTTCCATATGAGCCTAGAAAGAACAGCAGGAAAACCCCACAAAGAGAGGAGGGGGAGGAATGCCTGGTCCCTACATTTGAAAACATAGAGTCAGAATCTGATCAGTGCGGTGTGGACGCGGGAGCCGGGACGCAGGTGCGGAACCTCCGACGGCCGCGGGAGCCGTGGGACAGAGCCCGGGGACGGGCCAGGACCGGGGA